TATCATTATACACATACATGTATGAACAAATCCACGTTCCTCTTCGATTCTGGAGCATTTGGAATTCTTGTGGTCAGAATTATTATTTTTTGGAATAAAACTGGACTCCTCTGGAAATATTTTATGACTAACCCATTCCAGCATTAACCATCCCAGAGCTATTCATTAAGCACTAACCATGTATGTATAGACACAGTGGCTGACTTTGTTTTTTGGTGATTCCGTTATAGAGAGCACGGTTGCTACCCTATTCCCTGGTACCTAGAACAGTGCCTTGCAAACAATCAAAATTCAATAAATATTGGCTGAATGAATACACGGATGTTCTGGATGGTCCATGATTTTGAGGACTCAAACCTGGTCGCACAGATAGATGTTTCGGCTGTTTTTCATAACATTTTTAAATAAAAAGCGTCTCAGAAACCACTTTCTCTAGCTTGACCTGGTCAGGCTTTGATTCGAATAGGATGCTTTGGGGGGACACTTCCATCGTAATGATGACATGGGGTTTTAGAGGTTTTATGACAGCAATGATGATGACAATGATAATGATAAAATAATAACCATCATGACTCTGAGAAACAAAGGCATTAAATACATATTAATAATTAGAAGAGGCGGTTCAAAGTAAATGACCACCTCAACATGCATTACGGCGGACAAATTGAATTTGGTCCCAGTGAGAGACAAGCTGTCCTCCTGCAAGGCTGTCCTCCTGCAAGACATGGGACAATTCTCTGGAGAGGTGAGTTAAAGTCCGCCTGGGAGTAAAGGTAAATGATCTCTTCCAGGGCAAGCCAGGAAGGGCTCATTCACTTCGTGTGGGTGAGCACGCTTGTCCCAAGAGGCCGTTGTATTTGCGGCTTCTTCCCACTGGATCAGGCTCATTTGCTTTTATCCCTCAGATCTATGTGCCGTCCGTGCTCACACTGCATGCGTGACTATAAAACACCTTCCAGGATGCCACCTCCAAAACGGAGCGCTCCAAACAAATGTTCTCTTAGGGCGGTAACTCCTTAACACAAACTGCATTTAATAAAACTGCTGGTGACTCTAAAAAGGAACATAGGCATATTCGGAGAAACTGTCTGAAAGAAATTTGCAATTAATATTTTACAAGACATTTAGATTCCACCAATTCCTTCTTGCTGTTAAAATTTAAGAGCTTTTTCAAAACTGTATTCCTCTGTTATTACATCCTTAATTAAATTAATTTATACAGTGAATGCTCTAATGATACCGCTGTAGATTTTCAATCAAAACGCCTGATTGCTAGAGACAATATGTGTTAAGACCTTGAAGAAAGAATGACATAGGCACAGTGCCATCACCGGCACGGGGATATTTGGCCCTGACATCTGATTATTGCAAAGATCGTGGTAGTTGTTCTGTGCCTCAATTAAGGCCTTCATTTTATTTTTTAATTAAGCGAAATTAGGTCAGTGAAAACAAAATGCATCTTGCAAGTTGCCTTTCCAAGGATTTCTCTCTGGGAAATACAATGGCAGATGATGACATTTCTATTGCATGATTCTACCCGTTAGGTTGTGCCTACCTGAAACCCTAAACAAAGGAAGCCATCCATCCCTAAGCCAAATGCGGCATGGTCAAAGCAGAGGCAACCAAAATTGGTCCAAGAACACAAGTGGCTCGGCTGCGGAAAGAGTCTGTCTCACAGTTCTGTACTGAAGTCAATGGCTCATCAGGTAGCCTGTGCACACACAGTACGCTCTTCAGGCTGCAGAAGCATGACCCTCTAGGGAATTCAGGGGAAGTGTGTGTATGTGTGTGTGTGTGTGTGTGTGTGATCGATCAGAATAGTCCCCTTAGTACACGGTAGGCACTCAATAATCGTTAGCGGATTGTTAATCCAGTAAAAGATCAGTCATAAATAAGGCTTACACTTCAAGCTTTCATTTCTGAAAGAGAACATGATCAAACCAGGGAAATGAACCCCCAACTCCCATTTCTTAGTCTCTGGGTTGAGCTGTTGAATTTATTCCATATTTTTAATCTTCTATGTCTAAGGTTCATGATGAGCATTTCAGAGGATGTAAGAACCAATGTCTTTCTCAGTCACAGGGTAAGAGACAGGCTTGAGAAATGGGTTCTTAGTGACTTATTCAGAAAGTGAGTATGGCCCTAACCCTGGACCCCACGCCCAGCACCCTCCATGAGCTCTCTCTATCACCCACACACAGCTCGAGAGGAAGGCTGTCTGTATATAAAAATCTAACAGCAGACACAGTCGAGTGCATGACACACAGTCCCATTGGCTTTTTATTCCTCTCCCATACTAACTAAGCTCTCAGGAAGGAAAGGAAGACGGTCCCTAAACACCTAATTCTGGTTGCATGATAAAAGTTCCATCTGATACAAAACACCAACTGCAAAAGAAAACAGAAAAAAGAAACACACACAAAAAAACCCCAAACACCCAGAACTCTTTGATCTTGTTTTAAATGGAATGTTTTGGACACTTTATGAAAAAAGGCAGAAAGTGCCTTTTTAATGGATTTTATCCGCAGGAAAATGATTACAAGCGGGAAAGCTTTAGAGTGTCAGTTGGTGATGCATTTTTCTTTATCCCTTTTATTTTTATTCAGAAAGATATTAAAGGCATACGGCAAAGTGCATCATTAATTTCTTATTAATTTCATAATATGAAGGCAACCAGTAAAAATAGTAGTGATACAACTTTAAATTACCGTACTCACTTGGTATTTAATGAGAGACCGAGCACAGCAGGGTGTCTGTTAAATTAAGTTGTGCTTTCACATCACAGTGGGGAAACAGGTGTATATTGGTTTAGAATTATGGAAATGTTGACTAATTCCAAGGCTTGTAATCAAACAGCAAGGCATCCTGTAATATTTTTTCCCCAAGAATACGCATTAATCTTTTATGTCTGGTCCCATTTCTTCCTGTCCACCAGAAGCTCACGGCTGAGAAGAAACCACTTTCATGTTTTTCCTGTAGCTGTTAAGGGTGATGTTTATCAGATAAAGCTATACATAAATGCAAGACGGGGAACTCTGCTCCCATTTACCTAATTGGAAATGGCAAGAGCGGCGGCAGGGTGCGCGTGCTGTGAAGGCTATGAGCCTACAAATCAGACCCGACATCTCAAAATTTTCATTTAACCCGCCTCAAGTAATTGGGCATCTGAAATTGAACTGGATAAAAAGAAAACCCCAAACAATCCACAAACCACCGTTTCCAACCCCAGAATCATTGTCCTTAATAGGGGCTTCCAAATCCACCATCCCTGACTTCTGTTTGCAAAATTTTCAAGGAGAAAAAGATATAGGTGACATTTTTTTTTTTTTTTAATACAGAGATGCTATTTGTTTGTTAAGAAAAGGGTCAGAGTAAGATGCCCAAACAGAAGCATGCTCATCAGTCCCTTGTGTGTTTTTCAACACAGCTCAGTCGCCAGGTGAACTGTGGGTTTCCTGAGAACATATTTACATATGAAGATGGCATGTTGGGAACTGAGCTTCTATGGGGACAAATACAAATTAACCAAGCTTTGCATTAATTTAAAATAGGATGTGATTTGGCATTAATATACCCAAATGCTAAATGACCATTCATCATTTCAAGTACATTTTTTAAACACACACAGAAGGGATTTGCTTGTGTTATTCGATAATATGACCTAATGCAGCAACCTCCTAGACTTCACATTGGAAAATCCCATTTATATGGAAAATGAAGCTGAAATACTACTTAAAAAAAAAAAAAAAAAAGTCCCTTCAAACGACTAAAAGCTGCCTTACTCAAATCCCCCTCACGAGAGTCAGGGAGGAGCAGTTGAACTGAACCGGGAGGGAGACCCTCACACAGCACACCCGAACCTTCCCTTTGCTTGGCTCACACGGGAAGGGGAAACCAACGTGGTGTAATTCAAGACCAAGGCTCACAAGTTATTACTTTTGGGTGATTAAGAAGCTAATGTTGTGAAAACCTTTTGTTGAGTATCTTGCCACTACCGATATTATAAAATTTTCAATAGCTCTAAGGTGAATTAGACAAATGCTCTCTTTGCTGGGTGTAATGGGGGATAAAATGCGTGTATGTGTGTACATCTACAGAGACAGCTAAGTGACACAAAGACAGAATCGTACCCTGAAAACATTAGGGACATCACGTTACCTTTCTTCCATTCTTATCAAACCAGGTTTCAGTAACGTCATTACCAATACACTGCTCACCATGGGCTCATTGCATAACCAACACACATTGTTATGATATTCAATCAACTTGTCCCTGATATTCTAGTCAATGGGGAAAACATTCAGACAGCACAGGGAAATTCATACTAGCATGCACTACATAAAACAGCCCCAAGCCCCAGAAACCATGTATTATCATGAAGTAGCTACATATATCAGTTCATTTCTAGTGAGTTGTACTCATCATCAGATATTACTGGGAAGGAAATGGAAAAAAAGGGTAAGCTTTGTAGTTTCTGTCCTCTATCAACAAGAAGCCACAAATTGGGCATTAAAACATTGACTTTGTTAACCACCATTGACTGTTTAGAAGCCATTAGTAGGTTTAATATTATGGCTGTAAGGGTACATTTTGTCCTTTCAAAAGAGAAATCTAAAGACTAAATTTGAAAAGGGGCTCCTGGGGAGTAAAAGCTTTTCCTTTTCCATTTGCTTCTCTTGTGTGTGTTGGTTTTTTCCCTCCCTTTTAAAATCCTAGCCCACCCAATACTCTTTGGCGGCCGCTGTGACCCAGTGGGGTCACTCTGATTTTCTAACCAGGGGGCACACTATTTGAGAGCGCTTTCCTGCGGCATTAATGCCGGTGCTTCTTGATGGGCCGGCCAGCTGGTCTGGCTGCTGCAGGGAACCAGAGGGGTCAGCACACACTCCTCAAAAGACCAAAGTCATTTTTGGCACTAAGAGCCCATAACTAGAACCTTCCGTTGAAAGGACCATTTTCAAGCAATAAAGTGATTTTGGTACAAAAGTAAACCGACTCACCCCAGGTAAAGTTTTAATATTGTGCAGTGCATTCTGGGCCTCAAGTGCAGCTTTTCTTGTATAAAATGTTACGAAACAACAACCTACAGAGAGAAATGAAAAGGTTTTAGAAATTTCTGTGAATGCTTTGCTTAGATATAATGGAGACTGTGGCGAACAAATAATCTACTTAAAAGGATGCACAATTTGAAAATAATAAAGTGCATGAGAACAGTAATAACAACATCTCAAGCATTTACACAGTGCTTTTCATCCTGAATCATATTTATTAGCTTTACCCGTGTTGGAGATCAATTCATAACTCTGTGCACCAGCTACCTGGAATACAGCTCTTCAGAAATGAGGGTGGGAGGTGGGGGGTGAGCTGTTAATGGGACTTGTGGTGTAGCAACCACATAAAGAGAAGCGTTTAATCACAACAACAACAGCAGAAACTTACATTAACTATAATTTCCTTACAGGATATCTAGAACATTACACTTTTAAAATACTTTCTAAACTCAGTGGATTAGACAACTGGATTATAAACTTCTTAACAGCTGAGATAATGCTCTATTCTTTTTTATCTCCATCATAGTACATAATGCAAAGTCCTGTACATGAGATACTCAATAGTTGTTTGCCAGAATAAAAGACACTATTTTAGCCAGTTAGCAACTAAGTTACAATACAGGTGGGCACAAGCCCAAACGATGTTTGCACACTCTGTCCCATGTATTAAATATGGCTGTGGCAGGCACATCCATGGGCAACCTCTTGATTCCTTATTTCCAAGAGCCGATGGGAGTCCAGGCTGAATGCCCCTCCAGGAGAGGCTAGCATATACCCTCCACACAACCAACGCCATCCACCAAAGAAATGGTGTCAAAACCTGGGACCATTCCTTCTGTGCCCTAAAGGATGGTCGACTCCCAGAACAGGAAGCTAACGATACCGAGTAACATACCCGGTTAAGCCAGATAAAGATATCAGTTAATCTGTTAACAATCAGCATGTAGTTTCTGAACACAACCAGGCTTACAAAAAGGGTCTAGATAAAAACTAAATGTTTAAGGAAAAAAGATGCTGCTTATGACCTGGGCTGTCTTTGGTAAGGTGGGCTAAGAAAAAAAACAAGTGGAAAGATGTATTCACCCAGATTATACATATTTTACCCCACTTTGCTAAAGGATCGTAATGCATGGAGCCAGAGATGAGGAGAGCTTTGAGAGGTACTCCTACGCCTAGGACAGCAAGTAACAGGAGAGAAATGCACAGCATTTAGGCATCAACATTGGTTCTATTTGGGGTAATGATGAAAATAAGACCAAGAGCAAAAAAAAAACACCAAGGCACAGCTGGAGAGCAGGGAGTTGGCACCATTAGCCATCTTGAGAATGTGAAGTTAATATTCTGATTTTTCAAAAACAAAAAGTTCATTCAAAGGAATAGGGGAAAATAAAGTACAATACCATTTATATAGCATTCCTAAATGCATCGAAGATGACACCTCCTCATTTGGAAAGAAATTTGGACACTTGTCATATACTTGATCTCACTGGAATCTATCGAGATTAAATACGCAAAACCCTCACCTTGTGGACAAAGTGAAGTATGATCACAGCTTCTTGGCATTTAAAAAATACATGTATCCAAGGATAGAAAACCCTTAAAATATACCATTGGCATGACAGAGAGAACTGAAAATTATGAAGTTTCTTTAAAGAACCACAGATGGGCAGAATGGCCATTTTTATATGAGCTTTCATTTCAGATATCTGGATTTCTCTGAACATAGTTCCTTTAGCCATGCTGCCTGCTGGTAGATTTTTTTTTTTTTTTTTTTACTGAACTAATCAAATTAACGAGTGGTTTTAGCTTCACTGGTATCACATAAGCCCAACAAAAGTCATAGGGATTGCTGTAGATCAAGGAATAATTTAAAACAGCAAACTGAAGTCCCAGCTTCTCGTACCTACTATAATCACTCTAAGAAGAAGAAAAAAATACCAACTATACTTTGCAAGGCATGGTATAGAGAGAAGAGCAGAGAAATACACAACCACTACTTTCTGAAAGCATTTAACAACCAGACTCTCAGTAGGTCCCCTCTCCTGGGCTTACAGGTTTGGGTGCCAGGTAAGGACACAGTGAGGAAGGATCTGAACTTAAACCCCAATAATCAAAGCTTCACAAAGAAGCAGAATCTGATACTTTCAAGCAGGTGGGTTTGGGAGGTGTGATACTTAAAAAAAAATATTTAGGGAGGAGGTAGAAGTTATACAATAGTTTGCTTGCCAGGGAAGAGGAAAAACAAATGTCAGTCTGGCCACACTCAGAGCTAAGAATGAAGCATTCAGATTGGTCTAACGGGTGGGGAACATCCAGCCTGCGGGCCGTATAAGGCTGGAGACATCAATACCAGCTGACATCTCACACGTCTTACCAAATAGAGCCGGCTAATTTTTAAGTTGATAATTTTGTATGGCCCTCGAATGATGTTAGAGATATCCAAATGGCCCTCGGCAGAAGAAACTGTTCCCCACCCCTGGAAAAGAATAATGAAATGACGGGAAGTGGAAATGAAGAAATAACACAATGCTAAGATAAAAGCAGCAAGGAGCCACAGTGATGGGCACTGCGGGGAGCGTGTACACTCGGCCAACCTGAGAGCCCTGACCAGTACACGGCGGTCTCAGAAACGGCGCAAGCTTTCCTGCCTTCAATCCCGAACGAAGAGCCTACCATTTCCCACGGCCTAAAATCCACTGGGAAGGGAGAGTTCATTTCCTATTTAAGTATTAATATGGTGCCCTCGGGGGTGGTAACATTTAATTGTTCCTAGCTATTTACATCTTATTGGTATAAACTTGGCTAAAGTGTTTTCCTCCTCTTTATTATTTAAAGAAATATATATTTTTTTATTGGAGAGAGAAAGAGAGAAACATTGATGTGAGAGGGAAACATCGATTGGCTGCCTCCTGCACGCCCCCTCACCAGGGATCGGGCCCACAACCTGGGCATGTGCCCAGACCAGGGATCGAACCAGCAACCTTTTGGTGCATGGGACGACACCCAACCAACTGAGCCACACCAGCCAGAGCTAAAGTGCCTTCCTCTTGAACAAAGTTCTTAGTGAATGGAAGGTATTGTTTGTGGTGGTTTGTTTTCGAGACAGGGCAAGTCTGAACCTGAGATCTGAGCCGTGTGGGAGGGTGATGAAGAGGGGGAAAGGAATGAAGAGAGGAGTCTAATGTACAGCAGGGGAGATGGGAAGGTACCCTAACTCTCAAACTCTTCCACTTTCATTTGGAGTCCTCTCTGCCTGTCTAACTGATAAGGTGAAATCAGACATTCGTTACTACTGATCCTCTCCAAATTATGTACTGGTCTTAACTCTTACTTTATGGCAATTTAAATAAAGGTCCCTTTCTTTTAAGATGCTGCCAAAATCAGCTCTAGTTCTGGTTATAATACATTGGAGCATGTCCTGCATAACCTTGGTGATAGCTTCCCTCACTGCTCACTGAACTCCAACCCAACAGCTCAGCACCATGGGCGCCAGGCTTGGCGAGCACACTTGTCACCTTTTCAAAGGTGCCCCATCTTCAGGCGGGCACAGCCTCTCTCCATAGTTCATGGCTTGGACAGCAGAGCCCAGGCTGAATTTCTGCCCCTACTTGTAGCCTAAGCTGGGCACCATCATGCAGTGAACAACTCATGAAATGTGTGGGTTCTGGGGAAGACAGTATGATTTGGACTCGCATCCCAAGACTCTGCCCTTTGGTTTCAGACATTTGGATCCTGAGTGACTCAGGAGAAAACATCTAACTTCCTCTGTACCTTAGTTACTTCAGTTTCACTACTTCTAAATCAGTGAATAAAAACCAGGTCTCCTTACCCCCCCTCCCCAAACTGTTTAAACATAAAGCCAAAGTGTTTCATTCAGAACAAATTTTCAAAGTCAAAAGTCAAAATTATTCTTTATCTTTCCTGGGCTAAAAATGTCTTGCCCTTAATTCAGCATGCATACCAATCCACTTAATAAAAACGGTGTTTGATTAAGTTATCTTAAAATGTGCAGGATAAATACAGAATTGTAAATTTAAATAGTCCCCTTAAATGCAGCAAGTTCTATCCCCCAACCCCCATGGGGCTTCAGTCTATACACTTCCAGAATAAGAATGTGTTCAAGATGCCTGTTTCTGTGAGTACTCTCTAAAAACCAGTCTTTTTAACCCATCTATCACTTAATACGCTCACTTAAAATTTTAGATTCATTGACCCGCAGAGATTATTTCAACAAAGGAAGGGAGAAATATCATTATTTGCCCTGCCATGGTAATTATCATGGAAAAAGGTCAGGGAGCTACTAGAGATCCCAGAAGACCCATGAAGGTGCAGGAAGGATGGAATTTTCCTTCTTGCCTATCCTAACTGGATGTACAGCTGTTAAGGGAACCACCTGTCTCTGAGATTTCCCTGCACCAGCTGTAACTCGGGTCTGAAATTTACTGGACGCGTTTCCAGGTCAGCTGTAACGCCAGATGGCTCGGCAGTCTGATTCTGGGGACCGACTCCCTCCTTCAGCAGTTCCGACATCACCGTAAGGTGGGTGGTTAAACATCTACAACGTCCACAGGTGCTCTTCAGTGGTCAGCGGCTGCAACGTGCACCAGAAGGACAAACCCTCCAGTTTGGGGGTTCCAGGGTCCTTTCTGGAATGTCAGCCACAGCATGTGACCGGCCAGGGGACTCTTGGGGTGTGAGTAGAGGCGACTGCAGCTGGATGAGCCGGGCGCTTCAGCAAGCCTCAGGCTTCCTTTTTCTGCTTAATGCTGCTAATTTTTTGCTGCCTCATATTTTTCTGCTTTGCTCCTTTGACACTAATTAGCACTTGTACCTCACAATTCTTGCCACCTTTATCCACTCATTCAGGAGCCTCTGCCAGTGGCAGCAGCCAACTTACAAAAGAACATGATGTTCCACACCCACGGTACTTTGTAGCACCCTGCTTTCCCACACTCATTGATAGAATGATTTGTATCAGTAAGTGCTTTAGATTTTGGAGAGGAAAAAAAAAAGTCCATCTTTCACCTGTCTGTTTATCATCCCCACCCCACGGCTCCTCGGAAGGGCTTTTCAAATTCACAGGTGAAAAAGGCTCAGTGGCAAAACTTGCGAGGTGATTCCAGACCCAAACACCTGTTTCGGGCCTGCACAGAGCCTCACCCACCCACTGCTGACGACTCCTCTGATCACCAAGGGATGTTGGCGAGTCTGACCCATGACGGGTAACATGTGAAAGCACAGTGACCATTAACATCTCCCTGAGAATTCATTCTGCTGCTTGAATTTGAACATCCAGCAGAGCCCCTAGTGAGGCAACGCAGAACAGGTCAAGTTCGACGGAGGAGAGGTCTGGAAGAGAGACCCGGAGCGCAGAGGCCGTCTGGGGAGGCCGTGGTGCAAGGCCTCACATGAGCATCTCTGGGTGGTTGCAAGCAAATGGACGTTAGGCACCAAGGGCAGGAGAGAGGTACAGAAAAGTCACCTGGTTCCAGGGTCCCTTATCTGCGGCCCCTGTCTCCTCGGAGCCCCGTCGGGGTTGGGGGGGGGGTGCTGGGAGTTTCACCACCCAGGTTCCCAGAAGTGGGCAAGTTCAGCAATCTAACTGCCTACGTTCAGCTTGGAAAGTGAAGTGCAATCCGTATTACAATTGTGTGATAAGATGAGACCATCTTGTATCAGAAGTTGAGAATGGCAATTCCCAGAGAGGCTGAGCTCCGTAGTCAGGACAGGATAGCCGGCGTCTGACTACACGTCTTCACAGGCAGTTTCTGCTGTCGTGAAGGGTTCCCTCAGGCACTCTGCTAGCTTAGCTGCTGAATAATTTGAGACACTGTTATGAGGTTTTTGCTGTTTCCAAAGATAAAGTTTCAAACATACACACACACACACATTCTCACACACATACACATACAAAATGGTAGTATATTTAAAATCATAAAGAAGACACTCCATTTTACTGAAAGACTTTAATTTTAAATGATCAAGTAGATTTATCCTCAAAGAAACCATCTGAATTATCACAAATCTTTTCAAACCACAGCTGTTTCTCACAACAATCTCTGCTTAGAAACTCTTGGTAATAATATTCACGGAATTAAAAAAAAAAAGGCACAGCTTACATCATGTCTTGCCCTGAGTCAAACAGCAATTTGTTGACATCGTCCAGTGTGGAGGGCGGTGCAGCCCCAGCCCCAGAGAGTGATGCCAGAGATCAGATTTTAAAGTTAACTCTGCCCCACAGAGAACCGACACCGGTTCATCACAGGGCCCTCTCCGAGGTTTCCAAACCTTACCGAGTTGGGGAGGGAAGGAAACTAAGGTTTGAGGCTCTGAAGGCACCATTTCAAAAGGCATTTTCTTTAAGCCTTTGACTAAAATATAGACAACGAGGCAGTCTGTATTATATCTGTGGGCTTGTTTTAAGGAATCCAGGTATAAAAACCGGAGGTCAGTGACTTGAACGGTGTTCGGTTATTGAAATGGTCGCCCGTCAGCTGTCATGTCGACATTTCAGATCACAGGGCAACGCCTCATACTCAAGGAGCCGGCCCTGCGTGAGACACAGTCCAGGGCTGTCCTGGAGCCCCGCCTGGGCAGAGCACGCGTTCCCCCGTGAAAGGGGCTCTCGTCAAGGGGAGAAAGGGCCTTTGTAGAATGTTCTGGTTCTAACTGGTCATTCCTTTATAAATGCCACTCTTTAGCAATATCCTCATATAGAAAATTGTGCAATGCTTTCTGAAGTACAAACAAATAACTGTATAACTTGAGGATGGAGGAAGGAAGGTGAAAAATGATTTCCCACAAGTCTGTGGCTAAGTTACTAAAATGAAGCGAAGCTTACGGTGGCCGTGCACCTGGACTCCTGTCTCTGCAAGCGGACTCTATCCACGGCAGACAGACACAGGGCTGTCCGCGTCTTCAAGGCCAATCAACATCTCCAACGTCAGACATCGGCGTCGCTTCCTAAGTCTAAGCAAATAAACACCTCAAAGCAGCCGCAAAATGATCAGCTGATGGCTGAACCCTGCATTTCTTTCCTTCTTTTAAAAACAAAGTAATGGACGTGGCCGACAAATTCACCTCAAGATCTGTATTTGAATTCAGGACATCAACAAAGTCATCATGTTGTGAACTGGAAATTCTTGTAACGGCTGCGTTTGGATGCTAAGGAGCCAACAGACTGAGGGGCCGAAGCCCCGAAGGCTACCTTGGTGAACCCGCCCGGTTTTTCTCTTTCTGTGAATGACGCTCTCTTTTGTGCACCTTCGCAAGCAAGGCAGGTGCCTGCGTTACCCAAGCTGCATTGCAGTTGGGACCTTGGCTTCTTGTCAAATCTGTCGCATATAGGCCAGCTGAAGTCAAAAGAGGACATACTCCTTATCCTGGATTCCCCTTGTAATCTATTTCCTCCCTCAATCTTTGCCACTCCATAGAGAATTTAATACCTTTTCCCGAATCCAAAGGTTGTTGATCTAAGTGGTGTATTTTGTGCTCAAGTGAATCTCACACACACCCAGCTCTCGACTATCAATCATGGGCCTCACCCCTGCCAAGACCCTGGACTTTCAGTTTCTACAAAGCAGTTAAAGGTTCAAAAACTCCGTCAAAAGTCCCCTGAACTATATTTTAAAAGAAAACTTAGCAATGACCTGAACAAAAAGAAGCAGTTTACCAGTGTGGTGTGGAAGGTGACCCTCAGCACCTTGATGAAAAAGACGACGACAAAACGCCATTCTCCGAAAGCACACAGATGCTCCGGAGGCGAACTGGTACCGGGGGAGCACAGGTGGTCCCTTTCCTGGACCCAGAGGCCACCCACCAAAACAGGTGCTGCCAGATAAACCATGTCAAATGCACTGCTATTAACTTGTGGTCTCCATGGCCCTAGGTGTTTCTTTTACTTTGTCCTCCAAGCATGGCTAGCCTCCGAGGAGTGCAGTATGGGCCTTCACGTGTAGTGCTACTGACATGGCTACATTAAAATGCCACTCCCACCCTGGCCGGTTTGGCTCAGCGGTTAGAGGGTCCACCTGCAGACCACAGGGTCTCGGGTTTGATTCCGGGTCAAGGGCACGTACCTGAGTTGCAAGTTTGATCCCCGGCCCCAGTCGGGGTCATGCAGGAGGCAACCAATCGAAGTGTCTTTCTCACATTGATCTCTCTCCCTCTCTTCCTTCCACTCTATCTAAAAATCAATGGAGACATATCCTCGGGTGAGGATTAACCACAACAAAATGCGCCTCCTGCTTGCGTTTCCTTACTGTGGGTCCTTTCAACCTGGCTGCGGCACCCAGATGGCTGCCATGACCTACGTGAGACGCCAAGGAGAAAGCGGCATTCAAAGCCGAAAATTAGCTCTGGGAAGAACTCGCAAGGAGATGAAATACTTTTGTTTTGAAAGCCCCCACCACTTCACTTTTTTTTTTTTGCTCTACACTCAAAACCAAGAAAAATAAAATTAGAGGAAGTTACCATGGCATTGCTTTCTCTGGGCTTCCATACACCTCTCACAGAACCACTGAGTTTTATAATCTGTTAACTCAACTAACCTAACAAGAAGCTAAAAGAAAAGGCAAAACCCACCTTAATAATTATTGGCTGACAGCACCTTTCAAAGTCAAAGCCTCTCCCAGGGGCTGTGCCATGAGCCGCCCCCGATAGCTTCTGCCTAGAATGCTTTCAACCTCCTTTCATGTCACCAAAAATGTCTTTTTATAACCTAAGCCTCTGTTTGAAACTTCTAACAGCCTCCTAGAATGAACCTCTCCTCTCTCTCTAAAGCGGGTCGTCCATAGCAGGCATAACAGCTACTCAATACAAACGCCTCCCCTCGTAGAAATCAACTTTTAATGACACTGTATCCAATCAGCTGAGTTTTGCAGAGTCTGGTATAGCTGGCACCCTGAAGTACAAAGCATCACCATGTGGCCACTACCTGGGAAGCAGAACCGCACTGCCGTTCTGCCTTCAGTGTGGGGAATCTGTGGCGGCCTCCCCTGGGGTCACCAGTATAAACCCAGGGAATCCCGAGGGAACTTCACTGCCAAAGCAGGAGCCACACTTCCTACTCTGGCTGCCCGGCAGGAGCTGCTGTCCCGCGAGAGCTCTGACTCACCGTCCACGCAGGACTGTCCCTGTGCCGCAAACCTGAGCCATCCCTTCAACCAGGGGGAGAACTGTGAGCTCACCGGTTCCCTGCAAGCCTGCACGCTCCCCCAAGGCTCCACACCTGACGTGCTGTGACCACGATGTGTTAAGTGGCCACAGGTCTAGGCTACTGCCAGCCTCCTGCTGCCCTGAGGACCTCTCGGAGAAACCATCTCCAGATGCTCCCACGGCCCGGGAAGACAGGCCCCTGCTCCACATCTGTCAGAAAAACTGTTTCTCTCTCTCTCTCTTTTTTTTTAACTGAGATGAAACTTACTGTATTTTGAAGCCTTTTTTTGGAAAATCAGCTGAGGAGGGTACACAGCTGTGTGCACCACAGCACTTCCCCACCCACTGTTATGGACACCCAAGGAGAGCAGCTGAGGAAGAGTATACACAGCTATGTGTGCCACAGCACTTCCACACCCACTGTCATGGATACCCAAGGAGAGCAGCTGAGGAAGAGTATACACAGCTGTGTGTGCCACAGCACTTCCCCACCCATTGTTATGGACACCCAAGGAGAGCAGCTGAGGAAGAGTATACACAGCTGTGTGTGCCACAGCACTTCCCCACCCATTGTTATGGACACCCAAGGAGAGCAGCTGAGGAAGAGTATACACAGCTGTGTGTGCCACACTTCCCCACCCATTGTTATGGACACCCAAGGACAGCAGCTGAGGAAGAGTATACACAGCTATGTGTGCCACAGCACTTCCCCGCCCACTGTTATGGACACCCAAGGAGAGCAGTTGAGGAAGAGTATACACAGCTGTGTGGGCCATAGCACTTCCCCACCCATTGTTATGGACACCCAAGGAGAGCAGCTGAGGAAGAGTATACACAGCTGTGTGGGCCATAGCACTTCCCCGCCCACTGTTATGGACACCCAAGGAGAGCAGCTGAGGAAGAGTATACACAGCTGTGTGGGCCATAGCACTTCCCCACCCACTGTTATGGACACCCAAGGAGAGCAGGTGAGGAAGAGTATACACAGCTGTGTGTGCCACACTTCCCCATCCATTGTTGTGGACACCCAAGGAGAGCAGCTGAGGAAGAGTATACACAGCTGTGTGCCACAGCACTTCCCCGCCCACTGTTATGGACACCCAAGGAGAGCAGCTGAGGAAGAGTATACACAGCTGTGTGTGCTACAGCACTTCCCCGCCCACTGTTATGGACACCCAAGGAGAGCAGGCAGAAAAGGCATCAAGGGCAACACTGCTGGGATCCGCTTTTTCCCCTTTCCCCTGGGCCTCTGAAATAAACCACTTATGTCGAACCATTTCAAACATCTGATACCTGTAAAAGTAGCTGCAAAATTTTAATGTCACTGTCTCCCGTGATAGGTTAACCACTGCATGTGGCTGTTTGAACGCCCCTCTGCTCCGAGCACGCTCGCACAGAGCCCTGGGATGGGATAAAGGACGGCGGCGGGCTTCTCCACAGAGACGGTCCCGCGACCTCTGGAATACACAGTAACAAGCAAACTGTGTAGTTATTACTATTTTATTTTTAAATACTAAGTCTAGAGTAGGAAGAAGGACCCTATTTTTTCTCTAAAGGTTAGGAAACAAAATAACTTTAGGTTGAACTTGACATGCCAACTACAAGGTCATATTGGGCTGTGTCCCTAAACTCGGTGTGACTGGACTAATGCCCTCGTCCGGTGGTCTCCCAGGAGTCTTGGTGGTGAGGCAGAGATGGTACCCCGGGGATGGCGGCAACATCTCCTTCTCCGAGGGCCCAGGGCTGCAGCAGGCCTGCAAGCCGAGTTAACCAAGACACCTTCACACAGATGAAGGAAGGTGGCCCAGGGGTAACTGTGGGGCAAGGTGGTTCTGTCTTGAATCCAATTAGAAAAGATTTAGTTTCTGAAGTACCGAGGGACCTCATTAAAAGGAAGTTTTTAGTGTAAGGTTATTTCATAGCATGGATTCTCTTGAGGACAGGGTGGCATTTTAATTAGGAGTTTGGTGGCAATGAGAGGAGGTTAAAATCATGTCTATTTTCCTGTGATTCTCAGTTCAGCACATTGGGTTTTAGATGCTTCCTGGCCAGCCCAGTCTGTTGGGTCTCAGGTTCATTGTGCTGCTCCAAGGGTGTGGCGATTTGTACTCCTGGAGACTAGGAACACAGACCCCTTACTGTGAGCTTGAGTAAAATTCAGCTCAGCTCTGTCCTTCAGCGGATAGCACTGGTACTCTAGCATTTTATGGGCCTGACCTAGGTGGGGCTGAACTCTCAAGAGGCCTTTCAATCCAGAGCAAAACCAAAATATTTTTTCTGGGATTGGAGTAAGGAATCATATCCACTTCCTGACTCCTGTCTTCACAGCCAAAGTGAAATGTGGAGGCAAACCCTCTGGCTACAGAAACTATGTGGACGAAAGTGAAGATCTGTGCTTATTTTAGACGGTTTCCTGTGCTGTGTGACCCTGGAGAGTTGCTGTTACGGCCACGGCAACGGCCTCACCCACTCCCACAACGGCGAAGTCATTTTTCCTGAGCATGTTGATCAGGGAGGGAGAGACTTTTACAGATTTCCTGGAACAGCAAAGCTCATGTAAGAAATGTACTTCTGTAGCCAAATATGAGTTGATGTTCCAGGGAAAAGAGGTCCCAAAGTTCTCAGGGCAGAGACCAGGACAGTTTTCAAAGTCACACTGGATTTTCTCTCCTGCTTCATTCACGACACGTCACAGTGAGTCAAGTGGTCACCCTGTATCAGAATTTCAGATGGACGGGGAGGGGATTGACACATTTCTTTACTTCCCCAAGCTCTGCTTCCTTATTTATAAAATCAGGTTAGTAATAACAGCCATATATAGGGTTGTCACAGTAAACAAAATACTTTGTGGAAATGTATGACACAGCTGCTGGCACACCCATCAAAGTGCTGAATAAATGTTACATAGTATCGTCCACCTCACATCTGTTCTATTTCTCCAGAAAGCCACAAGCCAGGCAGAACCTAGGCAGGTTCCCTAGGAGGCAGGTGAGGGGCAGGCAGTGTTACCCCAATGTTGTAACGAAAAGAAACAGAGGGGGCTGAAAGGCAGTGTCAACATGCCTGCCACGACATCACGCTGCCCCCCACTGGCCCCTGTGTGGGAAGGGAGACAAGCGAGCCTCTTCTGTAAATGATGACACGCACCCTTTAATAGGGTTTGGAATTGATTTTGTTGTCTTGCTTTCTGAAGTAATTACTCAGAACTAGCCAAGTTCACTCATTTGCATGGCCTTTGAGGACTCTGCACATCCATTTCCGTGGCCTCTAAACAGTCAGTCAATGTTAATGGAATCATTGTGACAACTTTCCTGTCTGGGGACAACAAAATTTCCCCCAACTGCGTGCTTGATGGTACTCACCCAAGAGCCCCAGATTCCCTCAGTGTGTTATTTGAAGTGAAACCTGTTGCTAAAGAGCACACGCAGTTTTCATGACTATGAACGGAGTTTAACCACAGGAATGTCACCTCCCTTTACTTCAGCAACAGAGGAGGGAAGGAGGCGGTGGCCCGGCTCTGCGTGAAGAGGTAGCATTCTCAGTGCGCAGGACCCAGGGCGGACCGGGCGGAGAACCAGGGTACCTGTCCCCACGGCGAACTCGGGCACCCCTGGAAATAGGGTTCCAGCGACTAGATTTCATTTTGAGAGTTACCATCACACAATGATAACACACAGGAAAAATCATGGACTGAATTGCCGATGAATTGCCGTCTCTGATCACAGTTCAGTTCTCATTTTGTTGCTACCGAGAACGGTGGAGGTTCTTTGACAGCAGGGGGCGTACGGTAAGGTTCCTTGGTCCCCTGAACAAGGCCTGGCATGGTGCCAGACACCTAGGAGCTTTTCAAATACGTCGTGACCTCCTCTGGGCATTTCCCCATCTGCTCACCCCAGAGCAACTCGGTTTTCTTTTAGGCTTCATGTTCCACGAGCCTTCCTGACATGGGCTATTCATGGTAAAAACTGCCCAGGTCTCACTCCTGAGAAATGACTCTCGTATGGTTGACCAGTTTCTGGCCTAAAGTAGGTGTCGTTTGACGGTTTAGGGGAGATGGCTTTGGTTCCATCCACTGAGTTAGATAATGTATACACAGAGCCAACCTCGCATTCTGGCACACAGAAAATGCCTACTAAAGGTTGGCTGCTTCTCTCCTTTCTACTTGTGATGTAATTTTAGGAGTACCACGGAGGCTTCCCCTACATCTAGGGTGATCAAATAACTCCTCACCCAAGAAGGAACACTTTGGAAAGGAGAAGGGGATACTGTTAATAGTTATTCTGGGACCACAGAACAAAACGAGGGCTGTCACAGGCAAATACACAGACCCTTCTCCCTCGCGCGCGCTCTCTCGATCCTTCTTCTTTGAGCTTCATCCTCTTAGCTGGAAGCTCTGATTTATATTAAAATAAAAACTCCTCAGAACACACTGTGATCTATTTTCCCAGTGATGTACACTACAGTATAAATAAATCTCTGACGACAGGCTTTGATAGGAGTTTATACAGTGACAAGGCAGGTGCTGAGGCATGAGGTGGTGTCACGAAAGAGGAAAGGGACAAAAACTGGGGTGCCAGCAGGGAAGAAACTTCACGCACGTCCCAGCTTTCACAAGGGCTGGCCCTGGTTTGACTATGGCCATCTTTAAACGCTGGACTGAAGAGAGTCAAGGGGACTCAGCCACCATCTGGGTGTAGTTCCTGTTGCCAATTAAAGAAACTGAGACACAGAGAGGCGGCATCCGGACAGAGTCAACTCTCTGGTTACTGACAAGGCCGGGGCCCGGATCCAATGAGGTGGGCTCCAATGAGGTGGGCTCGCTCTTACCGAACACCGTCACAACGTCACAACGGTTCATTGTTCTGAACCTCAATCTGGCTACATGTTGAGCATGGCTTTCCATCCTCCTGGAGATTAAATAAATGTAACGGATTACGGGTACAAGAAAAATGCAACACGCGGTCCTTGAGCTTGATGTGCTTAAAATGTAACCACAGAGTCAACAGACCGTCCTGAAGCAGGTGGAGAGGAGGCGTGTGGCTTGGTCCCATCACCTCTCCCGAGACAATCTCACAGGGAAAGTGCAACACGTCCCTGATTCCAAGAGTACAGGGAACCCGACCTGCCACACCAGATTAGCAGCTATCCGGCTTCGCTCGAGGAGGAAGACGCCAACTACCAGTCTTTCCCATGCTGCGCGCACACGAAAGGGTATTTGATCTAAAAACGTCCATTTTTCTCAATCATTGTCAACGACACTCATTCTTCTGTTAAACCTTTGGAAAAGAGAGAAAAGAAATATTCCTGCAGGCTCCCACTCCGTCCTCACGATGACTGGATGAAGATGGATTTCCAGATCTTTAGCCCTTTTGGACTTCAGAGCCAGGGCTTGTGTGGATTTCGCGTGCGCGTGTGCACACACGCACACACGCACACGCACACACACACACCATTATGAAATGGGGGTGGGAAGGAAGGCGTGTCGTAAAACACTCAAGGAGCTAGAAGGCTCGAGGCAACAAGATCATTCGGCTGCCTTACTCTACTGCTTCCTAATTGTGCAGATAACAAATGATAATACTTTCCTGCAGTCAAAAAAGAGGTTCTCCTGCCCCTAAAGGCCTCCTCGTTCTAAATGTTATTCCATTGTAAGAAGCTCAATCACTCGGGCAATCCCAAACAGTAGACATGACAAATATTTTCCCAGTATGTCCTGGAGACGACAGTGAGAGGAAGAGTTGCTTCCTAAATGTAACTGTCTTCGGCTCGAATTCCCTGAGCACATCCCAATTTGTGCAAAGGGACATGGTCTGCGGGGCAGCGTGGAGAAGGCGGGCTGGGATTCACACGTGCCGTGAGGAGCACAGGAAACACACTCAGACGTGTTCAGAAGGCGGGGCGGAGCGGCTTTCTAGTTTCCAATTCTGGACAGAGGTCACTGATAAATAATTCAACCACTATTCGTCCAATGTGGTTATGCTTTTGATTTCCATGGTGACAAACTTCTAAAGGATTCAACATTATGACAGGGGAACACTCCCAAGATTCCATTACTAGTCAACCTTATACACTGACCTATGTGTGAAAGAGCTGTCATGAGGTGATACACTCCAAATATTCGCTATAATCCATAAAACAACTGTATGTCAGAAGGACTGCTAACCTCGGTCAACAGAATGAAGCAATGAGCTAATCCAAACAAAAACCCAGGTTTGAACAGGCGTGTTAGTGTTACAGGATAGAGTCACAGTACAACTCTGCCTCTAAATCCTAAGACGAGAGACAGCTACAGGGTTGCCAGGAACTGGTTTCGTCCATCTCGTCTGCCACTATTCCTTACAACAC